TTCAAAATCCCTCTTGTCGACACAATCTGGCCACAATTTTCTCCAGCAGAGTTCAAAGTCCTGGTAGTCACTCCCCCAAGCCATACCTATAAGGGTTATGCAATGGAGGATGCTGAAGTGTTCTCTCCAAAATTCCCTTAGGGTCAAGTGAGTGTCTGTGGTCACAGTCAAGCACCTGTGAAACATTGCTTTTGTGTAGAGTTTTTTAAAGTTTGCAATGACCTGCTGGTCCATGGGCTGGAGGAGAGGAGTGGTATTCGGGGCAAGAACTTTACTGTGATGAACCCAAACTCCTCGAAAATTAGGTCATCCAAGTTTGGAGGATGAGCAGGTGCATTGTCCATTACTAGCAGGCACTTGAGATCCAATTTCTTTTCCAGGAGGTAATTCTTCACACTAGGGCCAAACACTTCATTGAACCACTCGACGAAAATTTCCCTCGTGACCCATGCCTTACTATTAGATTTCCAAAACACACAATTTACTCTTCATAACATTGTTTTTCCTGAACACTCTGGGATTTTCAGAATGGTACACTAGTAATGGCTTCACTTTGAAATCCCCACTAGCATTAGCACAGAACATTAGCATCAGCCTGTCTTTCATAGGCTTGTGTCCTGGCATTGCCTTTTCCTCCTGTGTAATGAAGGTCCTCTTTGGCATTTTCTTCCAAAAGAGGCCTGTTTCGTCACAATTGAACACTTGTTCAGGTTTCAGTCCTTCAGCCTCTATGTACTCCTTGAATTCATGCACATATTTTTCAGCCGCCTTGTGGTCCAAACTGGCAGCCTCACCATGCCTTACCACACTGTGTATGCCAGTACAGTTCTTAAATCTCTCAAACCAGCCTTTGCTGGCCTTAAATTCACTCACATCACCACTATTTTCAGGCAATTTCTTTACCAGATCGTTGTGCAACTGCCTAGCCTTTTCACAAATAATCGAAGTCATAAGAGTATCTCCTGCTAATTGTTTCTCATTTATCCACACCAATAATAACTTCTCAACCTCTTTCGAGTACTGGTGATCTCATTTTTGTCAGCATAGTTACCCCCTTTGCAACAACAGCGTCCTTGATTTCCTTTTTCTTGGCCGACTAATGGAAACATAGGTTGTGTAGGGTTCTTATACATCCTGGACAGATTCGGGCCACACTTGTACCACTTTCATATTGTTCAATGATGTTTTTCTAAATTCAATCGTATTTCTCACCTTCTTTACCACAGGGCTTGGCACTAGGAGCTTTCTTGGAGCCATGGTAGCTTATTAGTAACTTGCAAGCACTAAAATAAATTGGAATATTTTGAAAAAAAATTTGCTTGGAGCACATGAGGGACCTCGCTCACTGGTAACAATGCCAGACTGGCTAGTTCCGCCCCGGCTCACCCCGTGTACGCGTCCTGAGAACTACCTTACTCGCGAGTCACCTATGGAAAGCGAGCCAATGTTTATTACGAAAACATTCCAAGGATTTTTCCCGAAATCTATGAATAGCCGAGACTACGAAAAGCGAGGGACCACTGTATGTACCATTTTCCTATCCCTGTCTTCGGGGCTTATATTAGAGAAAACGGAGTATAGCACAGGGCTAACTGGGATATACACTCATAGTGCACCATAAAACTGAAATAGAAAAGCTATGCTATTTTCTTTACATAGATTATCATACATAGCAGCATATGTGTAGAGAACCTAGGATAACCCAAAAAAGTCAAAGTGACTTATTTCTAGTACCTGGCTTGGGCTTGCCATACATGATTTTTTTAAATAATTATTTTTCTCAGTTGTTTCTTGGGCTATCTTATTGAAACGTGGGCAATGTATGATGGAAAGATGCTTCTTAACGTACACCAAAAATGAAAGAAATTGGGCAAAATTATGGAGTTCATTCCTCAGCCATTAGCCGCCCCTTAGCGGTATATTTTTGTATGGTTTTTATTGTTGTATTATTGCTTTTATGATCTCATTTGATAGACTGGAAGATATATTACAGAAACAGATACGATTTTGATTGGTTTTCAACAACGAAAATTACCTTGAAATTTGTGCTAAAAGTAGCGGAAATGTTGATTCTTAGGGGGGCGATGTTCAAGAGTAAACAAATCAACGTCACTGTCTAATTTGTGTCCGCCTGCCAGTCCCAAATTCCATACGCAGTCCACGAATGATTGACGATTATTTATACAGTTATTACAATAATGCATTATCCGCATAACAGAAATTCTTATATTTTTTGTGTGAATAAATATTCCAAATGTAAGCAAGAGAAATATAAAGGAGCCTGGAGCCATGACTAATAACAGAGAAATATGAAAATTTAGTGCCAGGAATGTCTGTATTGTTTATTCTGGACCCTATTTTGAAATAGCATCTTTTGAAATTTGTGAGAAATTGTGCACATAGCATTTCTGACCACTTTATTGGGTAGTTGAAATAGGTGAATGGGCAGTTTCTTGTACTCAGTCGAGAGAATAGAAATAAATAAGTTTATTCAGGTATACACAAATACAATTACATAGATTATCATACATATCAGTGTATGTATAGAGAACCGAGGATAACCCAAAAAAGTCAGACAAAGTAACTTATTTCTGGTACCTGGCTTGGGCTTGACATATATGATTTTTGGTAAATTAGGAGAAGGTGTGGAATTAATAAAAGTATTAGTGAGAAGGCTGAAGAGGGGTTGTTGAGATGGTTTGATCATTTAGAGAGAATGGATCAACGTAGAATGACATGGAGAGCATTTAAATCGGTAGGTGAAGGAAGACAGGGTAGGGGTCGTCCTCGAAAAGGTTGGAAGGAAGGGGTAAGGGAGGTTTTATAGGCGAGGGGCTTGGACTTCCAGCAGGCGTGCATGAGCGTTGTTCGATAGGAGTGAAATGGAGATGAATGGTAATTGGGACCTGACGTCTGTTGGAGTGTGAGCAGGGTAATATTTAGTGAAGGATTCAGGGAAACCGTTATTTTTATATAGCTTGGACATGAGTCCTGGAAATGGTAAGTACATGCCTGCACTCTAAAGGAGGGTTTCGGATATTAGCATTTGGAGGATATGTTGTGTATCTTTATACGTATATGCTTCTAAACTGTTGTGTTCTGAGCACCTCTGCAAAAACAGTGATTATGTGTGAGTGAGGTGAAAGTGTTGAATGAAGATGAAAATATTTTCTTTTTGGGGATTTTCTTTCTTTTTTTGGGTCACCCTGCCTCGGTGGGAGACGGACGACTTGTTGAAAAAAAAAAAAATTCTCATTTGTTTGTTGGGCTATCTTATTGAAACTTGGGCAGTGTATGATGGGAAGATGCTTCTTAACGTACACCAAAAATGAAAAAAATCGGAACATAAATAACGGAGTTCACTTCTCGGCTATTAGCCGCCTCTTAGTGGTATATTTTCGTATGATTTTTATGATTGTATTCTCGTTCTTTTGGTCTCATTTGATAGAATGGAACATATATTACAGAAATAGATGTGATTTTGATTGGTTTCACGACAAAAAGTACCTTGAAATTGATCTCAAAGCTGCGGAAATGTTCGATTTTTGCCGATGTTCAATGAACTATCTTGTGTAAATAAAGTTGGTTAACTTTATTAAGTGTATTCTAACCTAACCACTCTGTAATCTGGCAAACTCAGTAATCCGGCACACTAGAGGTCCCAGTGATGCCGGATTTGTCATGGCGGACCTGTATTAAGTCAGCAATAGAACTAGGCATTAAAAACAATAAAAAGTAAAATACACACACAGTACACCCGTTACTTATCTTAAAATATTTGTAGTCTTAATGTAGGGTGAGAGGTGAGTTTTATTTGTAGGAAATTAGGTTTGGGAGGTATGGTAGCCAGCCAGGTCAGCCCACCCCACCCAACCTCACCCCACCCCACCCCACCCACATGTAATATACTACGACGTTTAATTAAAGCACCCCAGAGTGATAAATTACATATGCAGTACTTTGAATAATTACCTTAAAATATTTGTAGTCTTATTGTAGGGTGAGAGGTGAGTTTTATTTGTAGGAAGTCAGGTTTGGGAAGTATGGTAGCCAGCCAAAGCAGCCCTCCCTGCCCCTCCCCACCAAAACATAATGTTAAAAAACCAGGCAAACACGTCTGGTTTTCGTTCATACACATTTGCATTATTCCATAATACAAGCACTATACTTTGTGTACAAATTGTCTCCATGTTGATACAGTAGAATAAGTAAAGAGAAACACTCCCATTCTCATGTAACACCATTTTTAGAAGAAATGACTTTCTGAGTGAAGGCATACGAAAGGAATAGTTTTCTAGTTACCCCAGTAATATTATAGTGTACACATTTTCTCTTGATGTTGGGCTACAAGTCGCCTGGCTACTGCAAGTCCTACAAGTCCTACAAATCCTAAAATTCGCCTGGCTACCACATCTCATATTTATGTTAATTTATTCTACTGTGGGCTGTATTTATCATGTTTATATGTTATGTAGTGTGTTTATTATATAATTTTGAAAAAATGTTATAGATGGATTAATGGAACTGTCTATATTAACATAATATATGACATTTAATGTGCCCAAGAGATTACGTATTACTGTATTATTAATATGGCATCGAGAGTAGAGAGACTTAGTGATTTTAATGTGTACCTGTATGCTAGCACAGTGTGTAAGTATATTTAGGTACAGGTACACATAAGTAAAATTATCAGAGTACATATAAAATATGCAATATCTTTAAAGCACTTGAAATTTTGGGAAGTTTCCATACATAATAGAGAGATGTGCTCATGGAGAATGTAAACAAACTGGGTAGGGCACACCTTATTAGAAAGATGGGGAGCTGTATAGCAAGTTTCAGTCATAATTTGAAATCACTGTATTAGCAGAACACCATAAGGCGAAACGCCATTAAGTGGGGCCCTACTGTATTATAAATATGAGAATTATTAAATTCTGATCAGGAGATGTTAGCTTTCCCTTTCACAATTTTAAAGTATAAACACAATATCTTATGTTTGTATTGTTTAATTTTTTCAGTTATAATGGTGTCAACCCGAGGAGTGAGGGTGAAGTTTAGCGAGGGAGAAAGAGTCCTTTGCTACGAGCCAGACCCAACCAAGGCTAAGGTACTCTATGATTCAAAAGTCCTCGAAGTAGTATTCAATAAAGATGGTAAAGGGCGAAAGCAAATTGAATACCTAATCCATTTTCAGGTATGCACCTTTGTGGCATTGAACCTAAGTTTGTGTTAATTTCCTTCCAGACTTGTTACAGTATTTGTGTTTCCAGAGAGTTTGGAAATGATTAATAATAAAGATTAGCAGCTATCAACATGTCGTTTTTGGCATGTTTTTTTTTTTTTTTTTTTTTTTGTAGCACACTTGTTGCTATTTTTATCTTGATAATTTACTAAGTGTAAACAAAATGTCGTTATAGGGGTGGAATGCATCTTGGGACCGTTGTGTTTCTGAAGACTTTGTGCTGAAAGATACAGATGAAAACAGAGATTTACAGAGACAGCTTGCTGACAAAGCCCAGATAAAGTTGTAAGTTTCTTACCTCTTTATTTTATGTGTGCTGTTTAATGATGGAAATATATTAAGAGTACAGTGGACCCCCGCATAACGATCACCTCCGAATGCGACCAATTATGTAAGTGTATTTATGTAAGTGCGTTTGTACGTGTATGTTTGGGGGTCTGAAATGGACTAATCTACTTCACAATATTCCTTATGGGAACAAATTCGGTCAGTACTGGCACCTGAACATACTTCTGGATTGAAAAAATATCGTTAACCGGGGGTCCACTGTATTGCAAAATTTATTAATTTAGGCATATGAAAAAAAATTCTTGTTGATACACCATTTGATACCATATAAACTGATTTAATGAGGCACCTGTTATGTGAATATAAAATAATGCTAATGGATCTCATTTCAGGTCTATGAAATCAAATAGAGTGCTGATAGGAGGACCGCTGTAGTAAGTTTTCTCTTTTTTTTTTATTAGGTGGTGAAAGAAGTTTATTATATTGGGCTCTTGTATGTTAGAGCCCATCAGGGACCACTGCCAGTCTGCCTCTTGTTTATTTATTGATTCACTCACTGGTCAATTTCCATATGATCTCTGAATATATCCACATTTGTTCACCACAAGAACTCGTGTTGATGAATGTTACTAGGAAGACTTTTTTTTTTTTTATTAACATATTATAGGGGGTTTGTCAATTGGCTTTCCTCAAAGACTATTTTTACATGTAATTTCTTTTTTTGTAGTTACCATCTGTGTTAATATTACTTACCTAATCATGTTTTTTTTTTTTTAGCTTTCAGGCAGTTTTGTTATATTTTGTCATTGATATAGCATTGATTGGCCTATTGGCTCATTGGAATACTTGAGGGAAATTTTCCTTTTAACCCTTAAACTGTCCAAATGTAGATCTACGTTCACATGCGTAGCGCTCCGACCTTGATTTTCCCCATTTGAAAGCATGTAAAAAAAACGTAGATCTATGTTCAGAGCCTGCTGCACGTCCAACGTTTGGACAGTTTAAGGGTTAATTAATGGTTTGTGGATGTACAGTTGTCCCTATAAATTTGTGGGCAGGGGGAGGGGGTATGTCCCTAGAGGTCTAGTGAAGCCACAATCTAAGTAATCAAAATAAAGTCTGCATAACAAATTTTGATTCAGATTTGGGCTCATTCCTTGTTTCAGAGAATATGTATCTGTACTGGACTATATTAATCAGGTTAATAATGATGCTGAGAAGTAATAATGCAAACAGCTTGGTGTTATTTGCAACCAGGACAGAAGGAATGTTGTGGACTAGCATGTTGAGAAATGAAACCCTCTTTTGGATATAAGAGTACTAGTCACCAAGCAGGTGTAGTTCATTTGGCAGCAGAAAACTGAATTTGATGTCTTGATGCAGGAGACTGATGTCACTTTCTCGTGCACTTTTTCTTTCTATGCCCTTGTGTTGTGGTGTATAGAACCTCCAACCTCTTGACAGTTGCTATGTTTTGAAGTCACAGCCGATTTGAGGAAGAGTCTCATCATGTGGTGTCTACCTCAGCCTGTCTTTTGCAGAGAGATATATATTGTATTTACCCATATTTAGCTAAAGAAATAGAGCTATGCTTGTGGTGTCCAGGCATTTTTTTTTATAATCATAATTATTTTTTCTTACAATTCAATAGTTGTTGCATGCACTACCTCCTCCTTGATGCATATTTCATCAGCAAACAAATCAAAATCCACAAACCGAACAATCAACACACACATCGCGAAAATCAAATCAACACATCACATTCTATCCCCAATCACACTAAATCATCGAACATCGAGCATCAATCATCACACCATCGAACTTTTATTTGTAAAGAAACCCTTCCTGCATGTTTTTTCACTTCTTCATAATTAAAGATTGTCCCTTTTGTTCTCTCATGTTTGCCAATTCTAAAAAACTTTCCCCATCTTTTTTATCATAGCCTCTCATGAACTTAAAAGTGGTTATCCTATCTCCTCCTCCTCCATTTTCCAGCAAAGGTAAGTTTAGTGCTTTTAGTCTTTCTTCATATTTTATGTTGTGTAATTCTGGAATCTGTTTTGTAAAGCTGATGAATTTTTTTATTGCATGTGTCCTTCCTTAATTCTCACAATAAACACCTCAGTTCTCATAATAAAAACTTTTGGTATACTTTGTGAATCGTGCCGATATGTATGGTAAATACACATTGCACGTAGTTTGGAAGTTAGGAGGAGGTGCGGGATTGCCAAAACTGTTGTCCAGAGGGCTGAGGAAGGGTTGTTGAGGTGGTTCGGACATGTAGAGAGAATGGAGCGAAACAGAATGACTTCAAGAGTGTATCAGTCTGTAGTGGAAGGAAGACGGTGTAGGGGTCGGCCTAGGAAAGGTTGGAGGGAGGGGGTAAAGGAGGTTTTGTGTGCGAGGGGCTTGGACTTCCAGCGGGCATGCGTGAGCGTATTTGATAGGAGTGAATGGAGACAAATGGTTTTTAATACTTGACGTGCTGTTGGAGTGTGAGCAAAGTAACATTTATAAAGGGATTCAGGGAAACCGGCAGGCCGGACTTGAGTCCTGGAGAGGGGAAGTACAGTGCCTGCACTCTGAAGGAGGGGTGTTAATGTTGCAGTTTAAAAACTGTAGTGTAAAGCACTCTTCTGGAAAGACAGTGATGGAGTGAATGATGGTGAAAGTTTTTCTTTTTCGGGCCACCCTGCCTTGGTGGGAATCGGCCAGTGTGTTAATAATAAAAAAAACATTGCACGTACAGGATTAGTGAAAGAAGTAGGACTGCATAATGGTGAATCTGTATAAAATAAGGGATACCATGCAAAAACCTGCATAATCCAGGTTGGGTCTTCAATACAGTGTAAAGAAATTGAACATGCAATACCTCTGTTCATATATTTAAAGACTAGCCTAAATTTAGCCATTAAGGGGTATATGAATCTCCTAGCATCTGTGTTAATATGGCATTCTGGTGAAAATGCTATTCCATAACACTTAATTTTCCATTGAATCTTATTTATTTTTGCTGATTTCCATCACCATGACTTCATTAATTTTCCGACATGATTTTTTCCTCAATTTGTAAATCATTTTATAAAATGTTTGTTTTATTATGTTTCTTAGATTCTCCTTTCCAGTAACTCACCCTCTTTAGCTTTTTTGCAGTTTTAAAATTAATTATGTGAACTTTGATAGCTTTCATTATAATACACATAAATGCTGCATGCTAATCTACATTGCTCTTGCATCATTTTTGTTGCTATCATAGCAGACTAAGTTATTTGTAAAATATTTGTCTTTGATCTAAAATTTAATTATTAGTATATTAGCTGGCACTCCAAATATTCAGTCCTTTTTCACTGATAGCTTTTTTATTTAAAATGCATTTTAGAAAAATTGGCCTGTGAATAAAAAAATGCCTACTATCTCTTTTTAATAGAATTGTATTTTTCATTTATTTGCTAGTTTGCATCTCTCAACAAAATGTTGAAAATAATCCAGAGTGGACACAGTTCATTTAAGTGGACACAGTTCATTCATGCTTGCTTTGAAAACCCATGGCAATATCTCATCTGGTCTCACTGCTTTACTATTCAGTATTATATCTTACAATATTGTACAATCACCACACAAATCTTTGAAGAATATCTTTCCATGCTATTTTTTTTACAGAATCATTTTTTAGGAGCTTTAGTATAAAAAATTTTACATTCAGTCTTCTTTTTCAAAAATTTTTCTCCTCCTAGTAATGCCGCCTACAGAATTTGTTCTAGCCTTAAATAGATTAGACAGATTTAATAGGATGCATTTTCTAATGAAACTATTTTTTTCACATACTATACCCTCAAAAATATTCTCCTTGAAGCCATTAAAATTTCACTTTTGGGATACCAATTCTCTGTACAGTACACATTACATAACTGAACTCCTCTTATATTTTATTTATATGTTACTTTAAATCTAGTTTATGCAAAACTTTTTTGGCTGATGTAATATCCTCTCTTCTATTATTCAATCTATCCTAATTGCTCTTATTAAACCATTCACTGTTTGTTACATAAATCTGCATTATGAGGGATTGCTTTATCTAATAGGATTGAAATCATTTACATTAAAAATTAGTTTGTTTCCTACATGGATAATAAGTTTGGTAGACACCAGTCATTCAAGGAAGTACTGTACTACTATCCTGCCTCTTGAGTGTGAAATGGAAACCTCTTAACCATGAACTTTTTCATTTCTAAATTTATCCTGGTCCTGACAGTTCTTTTGCCATTTCTACATGCTTTTCCTCCTCCTGAGACATTCTTGTGTAAGTTTTTTCACCTTCATGCTACACACCTCACATTTACTACTTTTCTAAGAGTTACACCTGCTTTTTCATCTTATTCCTTGTTTATCTCCTATTGATTTTTTTCACTGATTGTCACCTCTAAAATAAAGTTGCTGCATCATGTTTTCTTTCATTTATTACCATATTTCCTTCACAGTTCCTCCTGTATGGCCATTTCTTTTATTTCTATCCTCTTGTTTACTTAGAATTTCCTTCACTATTTTATTTACCTGCATTATTTAATTTTCAAAACTTAATTCTTCCTCTTTTCAGCAAGGGTAATGCTTTCAAAGTGATTTTGTTTTTGAAAGTTTGTTACTGATATTGAAAAATTCTGTAATATTCCAGTGTTGTTGGGTTATTATAAATTCCACATATAATTTCATTCTGATCAGGACACTAGTTTTGGAATAATTATATTGCTTTGTTTTGGAATTTTTCAAAATTATCTATTTTCATTACCATAGTAAATTTTTGCATGAAACTAACACACATCTCACCTATCCCATTCTTAGTCTTAGCTCTGCAATATTTGTCCTATGGGTAAAAGCAGAAGAGAATATATATCCTTTCATGGTTATGAATGTTCTCGCTTGATGAAATGGAGTGTTGCCCTTTTAAATGTAAATTTTTCTATGGATTTTTATGCAAAAGTAATAAATCTAAATTTTCTTTAATAAAAGAAATTCCATTAACAAATAATCAAAATTGACTCGAAGAGCACTACATATTTTAAGGGCTATAATTTTTCTTGATTTTTATCAAATACTTATCAAAGAGAGAATGGAGCGAAACAGAATGACTTCAAGAGTGTATCAGTCTGTAGTGGAAGGAAGGTGGGGTAGGGGTCGGCCTAGGAAAGGTTGGAGAGAGGGGGTAAAGGAGGTTTTGTGTGCGAGGGGCTTGGACTTCCAGCAGGCATGCGTGAGCGTGTTTGATAGGAGTGAATGGAGACAAATGGTTTTTAATACTTGACGTGCTGTTGGAGTGTGAGCAAAGTAACATTTATGAAGGGGTTCAGGGAAACCGGCAGGCCGGACTTGAGTCCTGGAGATGGGAAGTACAGTGCCTGCACTCTGAAGGAGGGGTGTTAATGTTGCAGTTTAAAAACTG